AATCAATGTTTTAGCAACCCAAGCAAAAACGACCCAATTTTTTGGGTTATTTATCTAGATTCAGCTCCACGTACATCTAGATGCACGTGGACCTGAATCTAGATAAATAACCCAAAAAATTGGGTCGGTTTTGCTTGGGGAAGCCTTATGAATTTCCACTGTTTTTTGAACTTTTTATGCAACTCTGGGTGGAGCCACGCTTTCGCAGAGATTGTCAGTGAGTTAAATGAATCACAGGAGCAGTTCACATTTTTTTATTTGTCATTTTTAGAATGGAATTACAGCTTTACTAAATCATTATGTCGACAGACATTTAGCATTTTTGCAGGGAATTTTGTTTATTTCTTTTTTCATTAGTATTGATTTCTACGAAATGTGAACGCAATGAGCTAGCGAACTACAGATTGTCGAGACATTCTGAAAATAGGAGATAGCACTCTGGGCACTGAATGTGGACCATTTTACGTTCTTCTCTTAAACAAAGGTCCAGATCTGGCGTGATGAGTTTCACAAGTGGAGGAAAAATGTGTCTTGGACTTCGAAATTTTGAATATATTTGTAGTTGTTCGACGCCATTTTTGTTTTGACTGAATTGGGTAATGAATTTGTATGCATATCTTCTAATTAGCGAATTATTTTTCATATACATGCATCTAATAAAAGATAGAGTAATTTCTTTTAAATAATAATTAAAACTTTATTACTACCATAAATCATTCAGAAGAATAAAGTTTTTTCGATTTTTTAATGATCTCGCTGTCTTTGTTAGTATAACCAGTGTCTATCGAGATTGCAACTTGTGTATAGCACATTTGCATTCTAGATGTTTTTGTACTTTATCTATACGATAATTTTTCTCTTAGTTTTTTCATGTATATATGTCATTACTGTACTGCGAATTTAAACACAAATTATGCCAATTAACAAACATGATTTGATTTGATATCGTATTTCGTAATATTTTTCCAACTTTTCTTTCGTTCAATTCACTATTCGACTAATATCATAAACCTTTTAGTTTTTCACTTTGTCGTATGACTTTTTCTATAAGAATCTACTAGTAAATCTCAACAGAATATCCTCGTCCAATTAAATATTATACGTTAACTAATCTTAGATTCGTGTTAAAGATGAAAATCTAGCCATATTAGCCGCCGGCTAATAACGCCGGTAATATCCTCGTCTTTTTAACATGTGAAACTGTATAAACAAAGTAAGTCAACTTTTCAGAAATGCTCTGCTTGGGATGGATAGGGTCTACTCCCTGCTATAAAAAGTTTTCGGCTTCGATTTTAAAAATTCTTTGCTTCAATTTGGGAATGAGTTACAATGATATGGACATGCTCTGGACCCCATCACAGACTCTTCTCTTCATCCAGTGGACTCTTCTGCAAACTTTCACTTGTTTCTGATAGATTCATGCTCAGATCTCTAGCTATTAGAGAAATATCTTCATCAGTGGAAAACATCTAATTTGTAGATGAAAATATACAACTTAATATCTGTAAAGATTGAAAGATTTGAGGTAATGCTAAAAATTCGCTATTTTAACTCCCTTTAAAACAATCAGATTGATAACGTGTGGCATGAGAATGAGCAGGTTAAGCAATACTTTTATAGTAGGAGCTTTCATATACGTTTGATAGTACTACACGATGTACGTACTCATATCTTATCGGCTTCTAGCAGTGCATGTTAAATGCTTTTAATTTCAAGTCTTTTCTAATTAAATTTATTTGTATTTTTATTTTGAGTTTTATAAACATTCATTTTAGAAAAAAATTATTTGTATTACTATTGGATAATCGTAAAATGATCAAAATAAATTATTAATAACAAAATTTAGAGATCAATATTAAAAAAGAGGATAAAAACTAAGAAGTCAATCTGATCTATTCAAAAAAAAACAATAACTAAATATTGTTGAGTCGTTAACGACAGTTATAAAAAAATACATGTTTTAAAAACGATATAAAATATCAGAAACAGCAAAAAATACTGTTATAGAATTTCGTTTAAATTTGACTGTTAACACTTACTGTAGCACCACCTAAAAGAAATTTTCTATTCATAAAAAAGGATATTAATTAGAGTATCTACATACTATTTTTCATAGCTGCATTAGCAACATGAACAGCATCATTAGTTGTCACAAACATAATATCAGGATCTGTTTTCTCTGAGAACTTCATTAATTCTAATGTACGACGAATTTCAGCTTAACAAAAATAAATAAAATATTTTAGATTGATACTTCATATTGAAACAAATTTATGCTTACATCGACATTCACATAAATATAAATTAATATTACGTTTTTTGAGATCATTATATAACTGAAAAAAACAACAACAACAATCTCAATGAGAAACGTTGACAGTTTTAAATAAAGAAAAACACATACTTGTATGAGTAACTTAACTCCTGTCGTATCAATAAAATTAAATGGTGAACAATCGAGAATAACAAATTTATATTTGACTTTTTTTTCTTCTGCTGCTTCTCTATCTTCATTAGATGAAGTACAATGATGACACTAAAATTCAAAAATTAATAACAAAAATAGCTAAAAAAACAAAAATAAGCTAACCTCAAATAGATTTTTTTGTTTTGTGTCTATATTGAGTAGAGTATAAAATTTTCGTTTAAAAAATGGTGCATTACAAGCATAGAGACTTTCATCAAATCGAAGAATTTTAATTCCAGGATATTGAACAGCCTAAACAAGTTTTTCAAGTAAAAAAAACCAAAGTTAAAAATATTTAAGTCAACTTACAGTAGGAAATAAATCGGCATCTTTATACACTGGTACATCATCAAGAATACCTAATGTAACAAATCGTGGTCTAAATAATATAGAAAATTTGTTTTTTTTTTGTATAGAAACAAGAATTAGAAAATCGTTCATCTACTTTTGTGTACGAATGGTATTGAGAATAAACGATGTACTAACACCAGCATATAGACCAATATCAACATCAAAGAGAATAACGGTGACGAATGTAATAGTCCACAAAATCTATTGAACAAAACCCATATATGATACATATGAATTGACATCTATTGATAGTTCTACTACGTACACATTCCAATTTGCTAATACGATAATAATAACAAAAGTCTTTTACTTGAAATAAAAGACCTTTTAAATTGACAACAATGATTGCTGCTAAACAAGCAAGTGGTAAATCATGAAATAATGGTGTTAATGCCACAATAACAATGCCGAGTAGAATACATGAAATACCGCCAACCAACTTTAAAATACAAAAAACAAAAAAAAAATGAAAATATCATGTCAATTATTGTTGAACTACATTACCTGACTTTTTCCTCCACTTCCTTCTTGAACAACCGATCGGCTTAGAGATCCCGAACATGGATAACATTTAAAAAATGAGCTAAATACATTTGCAATACCATAGGCAAGGAGCTTCAAAATAACACATACACACATATAATACGGATAATCGTGTGATTCTAACATACCTCTTGATTTGAACTAACTTTATAATTATGTTTTCGACTAAACACTTTTGCCATGGATATTGAAACAGCCGTACTCACTATAGCGATGCCTGGAAGACAAATGTTGATATTGTGATAGAAACAAAAATATTTTAATATCTTACTAATGGCTGGCATAATTAAATGTTCAAGTGATACAAGAGAGGGTGCAGACGGTGTAGGAAATCTAAAGTATAAAGTAATATAAAAACAAAATCCTTTTAGAATCGTGAAGGAGAGGATAAAGGGTAACGAATTCTTATCCTGTTTCCAGATAAACATTTTAAAAGTCGTGACATTTTCTCAGACTATTAATTGATTACATCAATCCGAGAGATGACCTATTTTTTAATAATTAACACGCTACTACTATCCGTTCCAAAAAAACAATGCCATCGGTTATTTTTTGAATAACTTTTGATAGAAGATAGATATAGACCTGCGGTTTTCAGTTTTGAAAACTAGACACCTGACCATATATTTCTGTAGGCAAAAGCAAATTTCGGAAAAATTTCTGAAGCGGGTTTTTCTGAGGATCATTGGAAAACTAGCTTGGGCTTTTCGAAAATCACATAGGAATGTATTGCTTTTTTTTGATAGCCTGGGGTGTTCTTCTCAAAATCGGAGTAAAGTGACACTTTGATTTTCTGCGATTCGGGCGTTGTATCAGATTTCCGACGAGTCCCAGGACTGCGCACCCGGTGACTATTGGTAGCCTTAAAGGCGAATGGACTATGGATAATCGACCATGTTAAGTCTCGTGGCAATATTTGTTTTTAGAAAAATTTTTAAGAGTGTACTTAGAAAAGCCAGTTTTATGAAAATTAGGGTTTCCAAGCTGTTATAACCAAATATTAAAAAATTCACTATTCACTCAAAAAACATCAGAACGAGTTTAAAACTTCGGAATGTAGAGTATTCAAGGTATTTTATATCCTGTTTATAGAAAATCTCGAAATAAATTTTAAAAAACCCTAAGGTTTTCCAAAAGGGTTTCTGAAAAACCTATTAACAAAAATGTCTTTTTCGATTTTTTCGATTTTATAATCACGTTTAGTGGACAACATTAATCATATCCTGAGTTTTGAACTTGTTCTGATGTTTTTTGAGTGAATAGTGAATTTTTTAATATTTGGTTATAACAGCCTGGTAACTCTAATTTTCGTAAAACTGGCTTTTCAGTACATTCTTAAAACTTTTTCTAAAAAAAATATTGCCACAAGACTCAGCATGGTCGAAAACCGCAGGTCTCTATCTATCTTCTATCAAAAGTTATCCAAAAAGTAACCGATAGCATTGTATTTTGGAACGGATAGTAGAATCTGTACCAAAAAGCAATGCACATGGCGTTTTTTGGAATAACTGTTGATAGAAAGCAGCTAGAGAGCTCTGATTTTTGTCATTCGAAAGAGGATACTTGGGAGCATGTTTTCATAGGCAGATATTGTTTTAGAAGATTCTTTTAAATAGGCTTTCTAGGAGATCTTTAGAAAACCGGCTAGGAGTATTATTCGACATGTTTCCCTGTTTCTTTTATACCACGAGCGGGCAACTTTCGCTTGCGAGCAAGTGTCGGACGGGTAACTTCCGGGAGAGCAAATTTCCTTCGTAGGCACTTTTCAAGCGAGCACCTTTCGCTTCCGGGCATTTGTCAGAGGGGCACCTTTCAAACGGGCGAGTTTCTGGCGAGCAACTCGCACTTTACCCCGAAAAATAATTTTTACCCACCGATATGATTAAAATTTTTGTAATAACCATGAAATTTTAATAAATAACCGTGCTTGTTGGGTCGGAGTATATAGAAATTGCTCTACGGAACAGAAGATGAAGTTTACAAAAAGTGATTAACTTTATACCTACCCTTTCGGTATATGTCCGACAACTGATACCTTATGACGATTACGAAGCTGTGTAAAATGAGAGAGAACCGTACCAATAATAATCTAAAAGATATAGGACAGAGTTAACGCAAAAACATCAGTTAAAAAATAAATCTGACCAACAGCAATTCGCACGGGACAATAACACGAATTTTCTTTTTATATTTTTCATTCAATTGTTTTGCCGTATATAATAAAATAATTGATGTGAAAGCTATCGTTATACTCATAAAATTTACATTTGGTAATGTTTTGAAAATTTTTATATAAAACTAGAACGATTAATAAACAGTGTATTGTTGATATTTATCACTTAAAAATGTCTCTTATCTTACTTTTGGAATTTTCCATGCTCCTTGAACTTTTGGACTTTTAAGACCGAACAGAGCCGGCAATTGACTGGAGAATACGTGTACGGCGGCACCTGTTGTAAAACCGCTAAAAAGTAATATTTAAAATATTTTTAAAGCTTTTTTTACTGACATTGAAAATCAATGTACCTAATAAATGGTTCGGTAAGATAAACAGTCGTGAAACCTAACTGCAGAAAAGACAATAATAACTAAAAGTAGAATAGAAACTGATTTTAACGTTTAGATAAGATGAATATATAATAATTACTTGAACAAACCCAACGATTAATGCTAAAGCAGCAGCAATTTCAATTTTTTGGGATAAAAGTGGATAATCATCATCGACAATAATAGACGATGTACTATTTAATTCTGATGTATAATTTGTAAACGAAGTATTCGGTGTAGTACTACTAAAATTCATTTTAATTAGCGCAGTGTCAATGGATGCTGCGACCATCAAACTAATAACAGCAAATGTGCCTATCAAAACAAGAAGCATAAATTATACGCAGATGATGGAAGTAAACGATCTAACCGATGCTCAAATGGCGACACGTGCCAAATATCATATACATTATTACTGGAAAAAATGAAACGTATAGACCTAAAAAATAATAAACAGTTTATTATGTATAAAAAGAGTTGTCTGCTTTTTTTTATTTCACACACCAAACACTGATGGTAATGACGTTAATATTCCATAAGCCATACCTAGAAATAAAGTACAATATGAGTTATGAGAATGGAATCAACTCTTTAACTCACCTTGTGGTATGTGCATCACTCCGACAGTAAAACCTAAAATGAGGAAAATCTTAATATTCATAGCCTATTTTCTTTTGAATAGTTTTCAAAGATGAAAATTTATAATAGAAAATGTCTGAGATCAATGAATGTACTAAATGATGTTGTAAAATAACGAAACATTTTTATGTACCCTATTTACTTTAACATATTCAAACATACGTTTTCTATTACTATTTTCTTTCTTTTTTTTTGTAGTTATACCTGATACTAAATCTCCAAAAATATTTTTTCTCAAATCGTATTCTATTAAACATCGGATAAATGGTATACGATTCAAAATGGAATTTAATATTCCGATAAATGTAAAATCACAATGGTGTCGAATTGATTTTTTCAATTTCTTAAGCGTTGTTAATTCGTTTTTATCACGATTAATGCCATGATGTTCAATAAAACTTGATAATGAAACAATCCGTCTATTTTCAGTATATCTGTTACTTGACGATGATGGTACTGATGCGTGTGTATTTACAAATGGTATCCGACTTTCAGAATTTCCATTCTCATTTGACATAACTCTATATGTATGAGAGATCAACAGAAAAAATTATCTGAAAGCTATTTTAATTCATTATGTAAACAAATGACTTTTTTTATACTAGTAACAGAGAAAAAGAATTTAAATAGTGACAGAAGAAAATCACTCATTTTCGAAGGTAGTATATACAAGAACGTGTCCGTGCAGCTTCTGAGGCTCTATCTATAGGTGAAAGCTTAGCTAATATTAATAATCAAAATCGTAGTCTCGATAATGCGTTAATCATTCAAATAATATCCACTTCTAAGTACGCTAAGATTCCAGCAGAATCTCTTAAAGTATATCGAACATAACGCAACGCATGCTAATAAGCACACGTTTTATATGACTTGCTCTCAAGGGGAAAAAACAACACTACACTACACTATAAAGGATTTTCTACTATACTCTACTACACATCCACTACACATTTAGTACACAGATACGTAGTGGGGTGTACTAGATGTGTAGTGGCGTGTAGTAGGGTATAGTGGAAATGTTTTTATAGTGTAGTGTTGTTTTTTACCCTTTCTTGCTCTTCATTATTCCAGTAGTCTTCGTCATGGCAAGGAGGTTATACTTACCATGATTTTTTAAGTGATTTTTCCACGCAGAACTCGAATGTACGTTCGTATCTGCATGAGTAAGAATAAAGATGAGACGCGGATTAAAAATTATTCGTTTTTTCACATGTCTTTCGCAACGCTAGTTTCTCTCAATATAATGAGAGAAGGTGCAAATTTCAATTTAAAATGTTGTTTTACTTGACTCGACTCTGATACTATTTCTACCGTAAAGGTATTATTATATCAAAGCGTGATTTTCTTCTTTTTAAACAATATTGCGAGCTTATTTTTTAGATTATTGACCTTTTCTCCAGCAAACATGGTCTTTTTATTATTTGTGTAAAGTCTTCCGCCGGAAAATATGAGATAAATAATAAAAGCAGAACAAACTTTTGTAATTGATATTATGAAATAAGTATTCATTTAGAAAACATGAAAAAAACCTTTACCTGATTGATAATGAAACACATGAGTATTAACCATATTTAATTATAGAAGTACATAACAACAGCATGCATATAACTATGAAGAGTTGTTTATAGGATGGAATTATCAAACATTTCTGACCTGTATATTGTCCGTAATCAGTAGCGGATATACATATACATTCATACATTGTGTTCGTTTATCTCTTTTTCTACACGACATTACTTTTTTATGAGAAAAAAAAAGAACAAGGTTTACTACTGAACAATCAACCGTAGTAGACGATACAATCACCTAGACATAAGAAGTAATCAATTTTTATATTAAAATGTTATAAAACGCTATTATCAATCATGACGAATGGTCAAACTCATAAAAAAGCATAGAATCAACAAAAGTGTGACGTCATAGAGAGCGCTTATCGAAATAAAAACCCATAGAAAGTTTCTAATTTTTATCAATACATACATTAAAACATTTTACATATTATTTTTATTAAATAATACACATTAAAAATAAGAACATCACTCTTCGCATTTTCCAATTTGGAACAACTGAGAGGAAAATTCAAAAATTTTCTAAGTCAGCATAATAATCTTTTCAAATGTGCCAGGTGAAAGAGTATGAAAACTTCATCTGTGACAAATTCGTCTGTCGTTATTCTAAGTATTCAAGACTTCGAATGAGTTAACCTCAACAGATTTTCAGAAAAACTTTCCTACCAAAAGGCTTAGATGTTAAAATAACGCTGCCAACTCTTCAACAAAATCTTTTTTCGTTTATTAGCACTTAAGACGAGAAAATCCTATTCACAAATGAGATGTTGGTGAACTTCTCGCCACTTTCCTGTCAAGCAATATAGCCTTTACAATACGGCTATTGATCTTTCCACCAGACAATATGACTTAAAAAATTTTTGAATTTCAATTGTTTCTTTTTGAAATTTTGATGCCATATTCTAAAAACCCGTCTATAGATCCATAGTGTTCCTCATATTTCACTGAAATGGTGTGACTCAGAAGAAAATAGAGAAAACAGATGTTTCAGACTTGAGTACGCCACTTTATTAAAAGTTATTATTTATTATAAACTCAGGCAGCTCAATATTACATATTTTCTTAAAAATGTGAATGAAGGATGTATTCAAACGTAAACAACGCCAAAAAAAACAGCAAAGTGGATTAAGAACATTAGCTTTTGCATATTCCATAAAAGAAAGGCAGAAGTCTGTAGATCAATAAAATAACGAATTAAAATTAAATTTATTTTTCTGTTTGTTATTTACGTTCTTTAAAAACACGAGCATGATGTAAAAGTTTGTCCGTTAAACTTTGTGATACTTTAAAAAAATGCCACGTAGTGCAGTATCACCGTCAGAAGTTGCCGGTTCGCTTAATACAGTCGATGAAGATGGACGACAAGAAGTTAATTCTTCGTTGCTAAGAAAAGAAAAAAAATCTGCAGAAGTTCCAAGAATAAAACATGGAACGGTAAGTATCCCTACAAGTCTTCTTGTATTAAATCTTACGATTCCTTCTTGTAGAGCAAGCATACCGGCTTTTTAAACTATGCCACACATGAATTAAAACTTGAAAATGCCGACATACAAGAACTAGAAGTACAAACACCTTCTGCACGTCCACTAGCCTTTTGGCAAACTAAGACATTGGTACCAAGATGGGTCCTCGTGGTGCTTGTTAATTTCTTCATTGTACTCGTCGTTACCACCATTGGCGTTGTGTTGGGATTTGTTAATCATAAACAAGGACTAGAAGGACCATGTCTAGCAAACAAAGATTGTAATTCATATATTGGCCTTCAATGTCAAGGTGGCCATTGTGAATGTAATTCGGCATCGTTTTGGGACGGCAAGCAATGTCAAGCATTACGAACATATAATAAAAGCTGTGCGTCTATCGGACAATGTAATACATTACTAAATCTTCAGTGTCTAAGTGTTACCGTTGGCTCGTCATCAAATCTATTATGTTTGTGTTCAGGATATCGGTAAAGAAAACAAACAAAAAATTATAATCTTTCTTCAGTATCCCAAATGTGATAGCGACCAGTTATCCCATTCATCTTCACCTTTTAGGTATTGGAATGGCGGTCAGTGTTCGACATTGAAAGAATGGGGTCAGTCATGTGCATCAAGTGTCGAATGTGATTACAACAATTATTTGCTGTGTTCATCTGGCATCTGTGATTGTAATTCATCACTGTTCTGGAATGGAGGTACGCCACCAATAACGAATCAATTCCAACATATTTACCATAGTTTTTCTTTTATATTTTGATTTCAAGGACAATGTGAACTTAAACGAGGATATGGATTACAATGTTTTAGCAATTACTGGTGTAATAATGCCCAAAATGTGTTGTATTGTTCAACGTGGAGCCCAACGGCAGGAACATGTGACTGTTTACAAACGTCCTATTGGACTGGTAGTGTATGGTGAGTTGTTGTTCTTCGTCGATTATAAGTATAAAATACTATAATTCTCTTTAAAAATACTATGTTTCAGTTCACCGGACCTTCAAATTAATCAGACATGCTTATATTCTTACCAATGTGATAGCACAAAATCTTTATACTGCAGTAGTAGTGTATCTCCTTCTAGTTGTCAATGTCCAAGTAATTATTATTATAATAGTTCGAGTAGTGCCGGTTGTATACACAAATATTCCTATAATATTTCATGTTCAAGTTCGATTAATTATCAATGCGATGACACTCTGTTACTGTTTTGTAATAGTACTCTAGGTAAATGTTCTTGTAATAATACAGATCACTACTGGTATGGTGGAGTCTGTGAGCCGAAACTAACAATCGGTGGTTCGTGTAGTGGGAATACGTCATGTCTCAACAACCAAAACTTAGTATGTGCCGCTACAAATGTATCGGTAGGCTCTTGCGCCTGCGCACCAGTGGCATATTGGAATTACTCAACTTGTGCCAATAAAAAACTATGGGCCGTAACATGTAGTAACGCATTTGAATGTTATGACCTCGGTGGCCTCACTTGCGTGCCGAATGGTGTAGTGAACGCGACTGTATGCGACTGTTCAAGTACGTAATACGATATATACAATTTGCAATTTGCACATCTTACAATATTTTTTCTAGATTATACCTTGTACTGGGATTCGTGGAGTGTAAACAAAACATTTAACTGTGTCGCAAAAGTTGGCCGAGGTGGCCCTTGTTCCTCATCATACGAATGTCAAGATTACAATTACTTGTCATGTATAAGTGGAACGTGTGGATGTACACAATATCAATATTATGATAATGTTTCATCATGTGAACCAAAACTGAATTATAGGTAAAATTAATTTCATCGATTTCATCTTTTACACAACAATAATTTTTTTCAGTTATCCCTGCGCTGGAACATATCAGTGTCGTAATTGGACATCTGGTCCTAATCTTCAATGTATATTTGGTGGCAGTGTCTATCAGTGTTTATGTCTTTCAAGTCAATACTATGATTATTGTCTCGATATGTGTGTCGCTGTTAAAGGATGGCAAGTAGCATGCACAACTAGTTCATGTTATCCGAGTTCACAGTGTGATTTGACTAAATCATTATCATGCGTTAGTGGATTATGGTGAGCACAACGATAGCAATATCTTTCTCTCTCTCATATTCAATAACATAATCCGTTTTTCTTTTCGGACTAAACAGTAACTGTTCGATTACACAATACTGGTCAGGTAGTACTTGTCTAGCGAAGGGAACATATCTTGCATCTTGTACTGCGGATTATACGTGTCAACAATATAATCTTTTATCTTGCGTATCAAGTCAATGTCAATGTGGTTCTACCCTCTACTGGAACTCAACTGCAAATTACTGTCAAGCTAAAAAAACCTATGGAGCATCATGCGCCAGTACTATCGAATGTGATACGAGTGCCGGTGTCGGTCTGTCATGCATTTCTTCACAATGTAAATGTAGTACTGGATATTACTGGAATACACCTGTATTACAATGTGATTCT